CCTTATAAATCTCTCTTTGTTTTCTCAATGTTTATGTATGCATAGATCTGTAATATATATATATATATATATATGATGAATAAACAAATATGAATGTTTTTTTTTTACTGAACAAATATGAAACTGTTGAAACATATAAATGGCATTATAGTTTTCATGTAAAGTAATATACATTACGAGGGCTAACCAAACTGTATAGCTTTCACCTTTCTAACAATATAACAAGATCAAGATTCATCTCACAAGATTATATCAAAGATGAAACTAAGAGGACAAGACTCAAGGAAGAAAGTGGCGATAAAAAGGTTGGGGGGAATGAAGCCTGGTCCGAGAATCATTTAGGTTTTAGCTTTCATTCTCCATGACCTCGAGCCAGACAACAGTCCTCTCAACCCTAAACCGCACCACAACTAAAATCAACTCTACTACCACGTTACCAAGAAGAGAAAAAAAAGACCAAAGTCAAAGAAGAATATGTGAATGTGATAATATTTTTGTAAGAAGAAAGAAGAAGAGAAGTTAGGTCTGTGAGACGAAGAAGAACAGGTTGTGTTTGTATATATAGAGTGGAAAGAGAGAGAAGCAGATGACCACACACACACACCACCAAGATTGTCTTTTTACTTTTCTTACATTAGTTTAGTAACTTTTTGAGTTTGAAAAAGTCTTGATTACATTTTAGTTACTGTCTTATTATAGTGTATATAGGGTTTACCTAAAATGGAAGTTCACAGGGAAATCCAGAGTTGTATACATGCTCCAAGTTGGTACATTCAAACTTTCCCCTAATATTTAATTTCGTTTGAATATATATATTTCTTCTTTTTTCATTTACATGTTTCTCTGATTTAGTTTCCTTCATTTTTGAGGTCAACAGCAATTAATATCGGGTAAAAACTACTTTTTTACATTTTTGTTGTGTGTTAGAAACAAATATTATATGGATTTAAATCCAGAAAATATGTTTTTCTTCTGTTTCCATCCAATAATTCGCCAAATAAACAACTAATTAAGAAAACTCATATAACTCTTAGAATCATATGAATGAATTCAAATCAGAGATAATAAGACAAAATGGCATCTTCATTCATCATTCTGCAATCCATAATGGTAACAAACTGATGTAAATTATATTTTGTCAATATGTAAAGTTTGAGTTAATGCGAGATAGGTACCTTACTTTTGATCTCATTATTGCCGCATTATTTTGCTGGCTCCCCTCTCAACAACTCTCATTTTTACTTTTAATTTTTATATATAAAACTGAATTTATATTACATATTTTTCGAAATATGTTTCATTTAACTTTTTGTACTATTCTAATATATGGTTTTATATAGATTCATTTGTGTACATGTGGTTCATGTAGACTTCATGAGATGTATTAATAGTTGTGACAAAGACAAAACACTGTTTTGGTCTTTACATCGGTTCGTCCAAAATTTTAACCTTTACGATAACCAACCTTAAGAATAAGAAAAACATCAACACTTGTATTCTTTATTCCAACTCAAAAACCAATGAATCTGTTTTCTTCGTGCTATATCTCTCACACTCACAATGATGAAAATGGCAATGCATTTTATCAGCTAAGCTTTAAAGCATTGCTTTTGTCTTTTGTTTTCGTTATTGTCAACAAAAAGAAGAGATGTATTTAGCATCCAAAAGAGATGAATCAAAGCCCTTAAGCTGCTGACTCCTTGGAGATCTTCTCTGCTTTTGCAACAACCTCGTCGATGCCACCAACCATGTAAAACGATTGTTCAGGAAGATCATCGTACTTACCATCAAGCAAACCCTTCAACAATTTATACAAATTCATATAAGCTCGTTTGTACAATCATGGAGTAAGGATAGAATCATATGGGTATAAATATAAACAAACCTGGAAACTGTTGATGTTTTCCTTAAGGTCAACGTATTTTCCAGGGGCACCAGTGAAGATCTCAGCAACATGGAAGGGCTGACTCAAGAATCTCTGGATTTTACGGGCACGGGCAACGGTAAGCTTGTCATCTTCACTTAGCTCATCCATTCCCAAAATGGCAATGATATCTTGCAAATTCTTGTAGTTTTGAAGAACTTTCTGCACACCACGAGCAGTGTTGTAGTGCTCCTCACCCAGAATGTGAGGGGAGAGCATACGGGATGTTGAATCCAGAGGATCCACAGCAGGATAGATACCCAACTCAGAAATCTTCACATGGGAAAAAGAAAAGTATAGAGTTGTCAGCTAACGAGCTTTACACCAAACTGAGTATCAACAAAAAAGGAGAGGAGTTCACACCTGTCTGGAAAGCACAGTTGTGGCATCCAAGTGAGCAAAAGTAGTGGCCGGAGCAGGATCTGTCAAATCATCAGCAGGGACATAGATGGCTTGCACTGAAGTGATGGAACCTTTCTTGGTAGTTGTGATTCTCTCTTGAAGAGCACCAAGATCGGAAGCAAGGGTTGGCTGGTAACCCACAGCGGATGGGATACGACCAAGCAAAGCAGACACTTCAGAGTTAGCCTACACAAGAGACCACACCGGAGTTAAACTATCATCGTCTTCATCAATATATGGCAGACAGATACAAATAGATAGAGGGAACGGAAAAACATAGCTTACCTGAGTGAAACGGAAAATGTTATCAATGAAAAGCAACACATCTTGGCCTTCGGCATCACGGAAATACTCAGCAACGGTCAAACCAGTAAGTCCAACACGGGCACGAGCACCCGGGGGCTCGTTCATTTGTCCATACACTAGAGCACATTTGCTCTCAGACTGTTAAAAAAAGAAAACAAAGCGAACTCAGCAAGAACGATCAATTAAATGCCCTTGGTCGGATAAAGAAAAGAGAAGGGTGTGAAGATTAATGGCAAACCTGTTTCTCGCCTAGCTTGATGACACCACTCTCAATCATTTCTCTGTACAAGTCATTGCCTTCACGGGTTCTTTCTCCCACACCAGCAAACACGGAGAAACCACCTGTTCATCAGAAGAAACAAGTAAATAAAGTTAATAAACTAAACTTGAGCACCACTGGACAAACTACTTCAAAACCCCTAAGAATACACACCATGAGCTTTAGCGACATTGTTAATCAACTCCATAATGAGCACTGTTTTGCCAACACCAGCACCACCAAAGAGCCCAATCTTTCCTCCTCTTTGATAAGGAGCAAGTAAATCAACAACCTAAAAAGAAAGCAACAAATGCCAGCTCAGAAGACGAACAACAACACGTGTAGCCTGTGGGACCAGAGCAAAGCTAGAGCTCAGAATCCACCTTAATACCAGTGGCAAGAATCTCTTGTCCGGTAGCCAGATCAACCAAAGCCGGAGCATCTCTATGAATAGGTAAGTAGTGCTCGGTCTCTGAGAAAACAAAAACAAAACACATTGTCATGACAGGTTTGCAGATAAATAAACCATCAATTAAACAATGGATTGAACTTTCTCACTAATTTCGCCTCTTTCATCAATAGGCTCTCCAAGAACATTCATGATACGTCCAAGTGTTGCTCTTCCAACAGGCACCTTAATAAAATTGAAAACAACCCAAAAATTAATACTTCCATTATCATCAACATAACCCATATTTAAAAAATTGGATCTTGAAAAAGTCAACGCCAAAGATAAGACTATATGAAGCAAAAGACGATCAACAAATCCACAGATCTAGAACTATTGACTCTCCCTGATTCAACGACGCAGATTAAAGGATCCTTACAGTGATTGGAGCTCCAGTGTTGAGAACACGTCTCCCACGGACAAGACCCTCGGTACCATCCATAGCAATAGTCCTCACAACATTCTGACCCAAGTGATGTGACACCTCGAGAACCAACCTCGTGGGATGGTCCTGAACCTCTAGAGATGTCATGATCGGAGGCAAACCTTCCTGATCTTCGAATCTCACATCGACAATAGCACCGATGACTTGGCAGACCTTCCCAATCGCACCTTTACCACCGTAATCATAAGTCTTCTTCGCTTCATCCTTAGCTGGAGGAGGTGAAGGAGCAGCCGGTGAAGAGGTTGAATACTCGGCGACGCGTCCGAGGAATGAAGCAGCGCATCGAGCGGGGGAAGGGGATGAGAGGCGAGAGTTTCGGGTAGTGAATCTGGCGGCGGATCTGGCGGAAGATGAACGGAGAAGCGTTGATAAGACTCTCCGCGACGCCATCAAAATCAGTTTATTGTTGTTTTGTGGGAGTGATGAGAGGAAACGCTAGGGTAACTACAGAACCTGAATTTAAGCTTCACTCGTTGTATCTAAGTGGGCTTTGTAATGGGCTTCTTACATAAAAATCTGAAAATAATCATTTTGTTTATGTTGTTGTCCGAAAAAAATCTTAAATAATACGTGTCATGACCTTAACTAAACACGCTCACTGAAGAAGTGGTCTACGTTCGTTATAGAAGCACTTTATATTTAGAACACACAAGGGATTTTTCCGGGTTACACCCAGGTTTAGACAAACATATTTGTATTTAATAAATGTAATACATATATATTATGGTCAACTTAGAAAATTCTAAATTCTAAAAACAAAAAAAAAACAAAAAAAAAAAACCTTATTTTTGTCTTCTAATATCTAAAAATACAACGAGACGGTGAATGAAAAATGCAAATGCATAGAATTAATTAAGAGATGTTGCCTTCGCTCATGCCAAAGCGTTGGAGAATGTAGACGCTAATGACGATTGCCCAAGTGTGACAACAAATGACATTAAAGAGATTATGCGTGGATTATTTCAAGATTTGTGTATTGCTGCTACGTGAGTTCTCTATCGATTTCATCCCTATTCTACGTGAGTTCTCTATCCTAACCCAATCTGTTTTAAGGCTCATTTGAGTTTGGTCTGCTGAAAATAATGTAGGCCCACATAAGCCCATCATAAAAGCCCAACAAATTTATGGAAATTTTCTTCAGACAGAACACCAGTATATGTTTTAGAACCAGGTTCTGTCATTACCCTAAGGCCATTTCTTATCAACAAACACACTCATGGCGTCTCGGAGAGTCTTATCATCACTTCTCCGTTCATCTTCCGCCAGATCTGCCGCCAGATTCACCACCCGAAACTCTCGACTCTCGTCCCCTTCCCCCGCACGATGCGCTGCTCCATTCGGTAACCTCCTAGGACGCGTGGCCGAGTATTCAACCTCTTCACCCGCTGCTCCATCGTCTCCTCCAGCTAAGGATGAGGCCAAGAAGACTTATGATTACGGAGGTAAAGGCGCGATCGGGAAGGTTTGTCAAGTCATTGGTGCTATTGTGGATGTGAGATTTGAAGATCAGGAAGGTTTGCCTCCGATCATGACTTCTCTCGAGGTTCAGGATCATCCCACGAGATTGGTGCTTGAGGTGTCACATCACTTGGGTCAGAATGTTGTGAGGACTATTGCTATGGATGGTACTGAGGGGCTTGTTCGTGGGAGACGTGTTCTCAACACTGGTGCTCCAATCACTGTAAGTATCCTTTAATCTGAATCGTTGAATCAGGAATCAGGGAGAGTCAATATGTCTAGATCTGTGGATTCGTTGATTCTTTTTTGCTTCATAACGTTGACTTTGTCAAGATCCAATTTTTATTTCAAAATAGTATTCATTTCCGGTATTCATTTCCGTTGAATTTATTTATTCTGGGTTGTTCTTACGTTAATTAAGGTGCCTGTTGGAAGAGCAACACTTGGACGTATCATGAATGTTCTTGGAGAGCCTATTGACGAAAGAGGCGAAATTAGTAAGTAGTCTGTCCACCTTTAACCAATGTCTTACTTTCTGCGAAACTGTCATGATAATGTGTTCTTGCTGTTGCTCAGAAACCGAACACTACCTACCTATTCACAGAGATGCGCCGGCTTTGGTTGATCTAGCCACCGGGCAAGAGATCCTTGCCACTGGAATTAAGGTAGATTATTGTCTCGCGTTCTTTCAATATGTTATATGTTTGGTTGTCGTTAGTCTTCCAAGCTAACGTTTGTTGCTTTCGTTCCCAGGTTGTTGATTTACTTGCGCCTTACCAAAGAGGAGGAAAGATTGGGCTTTTTGGTGGTGCTGGTGTTGGGAAAACAGTGCTCATTATGGAGCTGATTAACAATGTCGCAAAAGCTCATGGTATGTATTCTCAGGGAGTTTAAAAGTAGTTTAGTCAGTGGTGCTCCGATTTTAGTTTACTAATTAGTTTCTGATGAACAGGTGGTTTCTCCGTGTTTGCTGGTGTGGGAGAACGTACTCGTGAAGGCAATGACTTGTACAGAGAAATGATTGAGAGTGGTGTCATCAAGCTAGGCGAGAAGCAGGTTTGCAGCTCATTTGGAATAATCTTCGCCTCTCTCTATCCTGCAACCGGTCTTTGAATGGTCTTTGTTACTGAATTATTTCTGTCTTCCAATCTTAACAGTCTGAAAGCAAATGTGCTCTTGTGTATGGACAAATGAACGAGCCCCCGGGTGCTCGTGCCCGTGTTGGACTTACTGGTCTGACCGTTGCTGAGTATTTCCGTGATGCTGAAGGTCAAGATGTGTTGCTTTTCATTGACAACATTTTCCGTTTCACTCAGGTGAACTAATATGTTATTTGCTCTATCTATCATCAACAGTGTGCCTTATATTACTGTAAATTTAACTTCGATGTACTCTCTTTTGTAGGCTAACTCTGAAGTGTCTGCTTTGCTTGGTCGTATCCCATCCGCTGTGGGTTACCAGCCAACCCTCGCTTCTGATCTTGGTGCTCTTCAAGAGCGAATCACAACCACAAAGAAAGGTTCCATCACCTCAGTGCAAGCCATCTATGTCCCTGCTGATGATTTGACTGATCCTGCTCCTGCCACCACTTTTGCTCACTTGGATGCCACAACCGTGCTTTCAAGACAGGTCTGAACTCGTCTCTTTTGATGATATTCATTCAAATTTGTTTGGTGGAAGTTTCATAAAGCTGACATCTATATATTTTCTTCTTTTTCCCTTGTGAAGATTTCTGAGCTTGGTATCTATCCTGCTGTGGATCCTCTGGATTCAACATCCCGTATGCTCTCGCCTCACATTCTAGGTGAGGAGCACTACAACACTGCTCGTGGTGTGCAGAAAGTGCTACAGAACTACAAGAACTTGCAAGATATCATTGCCATTTTGGGAATGGATGAGCTAAGTGAAGATGACAAGCTTACCGTTGCCCGTGCCCGTAAGATCCAGAGATTCTTGAGTCAGCCATTCCACGTTGCTGAGATCTTCACTGGTGCCCCTGGAAAATACGTTGACCTTAAGGAAAACATCAACAGTTTCCAGGTTTGTTTATATTTATGCCCATATGACTTTATCCTTGCTCCATGATTGTACAAACGAGCTTATATGAATTTGTAAACTGTTGCAGGGTTTACTTGATGGTAAGTACGATGATCTTCCTGAACAGTCATTTTACATGGTTGGTGGCATCGACGAGGTTGTTGCGAAAGCAGAGAAGATCTCCAAGGAGTCAGCAGCTTAAGGGCTTTGATTCATCTCTTTCGGTTGCTTAATACGTCTCTTCTTCTTTTTGTTGACAATAACGAAAAAAAAACAAAAGCAATGCTTTGCTGAGCTGCTAGTGCAATTCCCATCTTTTGTGAGTTTGAGAGCTGCAAGATGATGCTGAACATATTCATTCACTGTAACTCAAATTTTTGGTTCTTTTGCTTCTTTACTTTTTAAATAAAAGTAAAGTCTTTTGCAGATTCCAATTGCCGTGTTTATGATTTTTTTTATCTCAGTCTCTTAATCTTTGTTTCCGAGAATGTGCACTTCTTAACACGATTATTACTGTGATACTTGTTATCTGAAAAGTGAATCATCATATTGGTTGTAAACATGTAGTCACATAACAGCTTCTTCTGTAGTCTCTTTATATGCTCTTTATATACAACTAAACATATATGAATAATAAGCCGTTTATGGTACTGACATCACTTCACCACAAAACATCACTCTCCTTCTAGAAGCTTAAGCTACTTCCTTTTAACAATGTTTTATAATCTCTTGGCATATCAACCCGATCAATCACATCCAACGCTTTTTCCTTGTCGATAACAAAATCAACAAGTGAAAAACCAGAAGAAAATCTCTTCACAGCAGCAGCTGATTTGCTTCTTCTCACTCCACAAAGATAGTCACTGCTTTTGCTCAAAGGATCACACTTTCTCACCCGTGAATACTCACAATCAAAATCCTGACTCTTGCTAACACATGGAGTCCTCTTTCTTTTAACAACTTCTTGTAACATCTTTTGCTCCTCAACTGTTACTAATGGGACACTCAGTTGTTCAGATATCAGTTGTTGGTTCGTAGACTTGATAGAAGAAAGTCTATGACCTCCTCGAGCAGCGTCGCTCTTTGCTTTTGTAACCAAATGTTGTAACCAAATTATCTGTCCAAGAATGTAGTTCTCTGTCTTTTCTTTGTTAGCGTGATAGAGTGTCTCGATCCTTAGTACATCTCCACCACTAGGCTTACTTGTGAAATCACTCCTGTAACATTAAAAACAAAACCAATGAGAGAAGAGAAGCTGCAAGTCTTATTTCAATCACTACTCACCCTGTATTTGCCCATTCTCCAACCCAACCGAAACCGTGATGAGCTCTGCAATGAACACATTCAGAACAATCTTTAGCCATAAAAGAAAATAATATTTTCACACCGAGAAATGTCACAGATTGTTTACTTGGTTGTGTTGGCTGCAATAGGGACAAGCCAATGCAGTGTCCTCTCCATCTCGTCCTTAATTTGTGTAACCGAAAGCTGTCAGGAGATACATAAAATTATTACACGAAGAGCCAGTTTTTAATGTTACAGGAGTGATTTCACTAGTAAGCCTAGGTATATTAGTGAGACTGGTCAAAAGAACACATTCTTTCTTCAGTTTTTTAGATCAGAGAGTGTGAACAAGAAGACATTACCTCCTTATCGACTTTGAAGGATCTAATCCTGGAACGAAGAGCCAACTTTATACCAGGTGGCAAGCTTTGGTATAGAGAATCCCTTGCATGTGAAGTTATAGAGCTTGAACGAGCGACCTGTGATCAAGAGAATACACTTAGAACCAACTAAACCAAATGAAACAATACTACGTTTGTGCACTCACAAGTGTATCAATCTGCACAATCAAATTTGCATAATGTAAAGCAAGACCAGCAGGTCCCAATCTTTTATCAGAATCTGCAGCTCCTTTTTTCAATGGTTGATCATCTGTACAAAAGAATTTGATGTCTGAAATTAAAGGTTTTCGTGTGAATAGTTAATTATGGAGGATCAATAGACTACAATGTGGACTAGAGACCATATTCAAAAGCTTAGATATACATGCTCAGTAACACATGGTGGAAAATGTACAAAAAAAAGGAGGAACTTACATACCGGCACCACCGAAGATATTATGGATCTCTAGCAACAAGAAATGTACAATGTCTACCAGTTTCTCCATCATCTGAAATAAAAATTAGCCGTTAAGATGAACATTAGCTTATAACACCTAAAACATTAGCAACCGATTTTTTTGAACGCCTAAAACGATCTTTATAACACTCATATGGTGACTTTAAATGATGGAGAAGTGGTACACACCTCTTCAAAACCTCTGGACCACAACGACTTTTTCTTTAAGCTTTTCACGATCTTTCTCTGGGATTTAAGCTCCGTTTTTAAAATTGCAAGACCGTCGCCTATGTTTAAAAGAGAGGACTGTTATGAAAAGGATGATTTTAAATGTAACAAAGCAGAAAAATAGTCTCTGATAGTTTACCCTTACTGCTACTAGCTGAGTTCTCTTCTTCTCGGCGCTTTTGCTCATAGTCTTTCTCCAATCGATCCAATACTTGGAGTTCTTGGTATAGTTCCTGAAACCCAAAAGAGATATTTTAACACATAAGTTTGAGATGTCTGAAGTGAGATCATGACAATTTTTTGAAAGTATACAGCTACTAAACAACATAACTAGCAGATAACACACATCTAAGTAGTAAGAACAACTCATTATGATTTTAGAGTTCACTCACAGCTGTATACTGCACTAGAGCCATTAGTTGTTCAACAACTAATACAACGTCTTCATTCAACTGTCTTTGAGGGGTTTGTTCTTTGCTGATCCTGAGAACCAAAGAAAAAACAAATTCAACAACTAAAAAGACAAGCACAATCTCATGAACTGTATAAATCTACCTGTCGAAGTAGCGCTGTAAATTATGCCACTGAAAGTCTTTAGATCGGTTTCCAAACCGAACCACTTCTCCCAAGAAAACTTGCAGCTCCTGCCTGCATAATATAACAAAGTTAACTCTCTTGCAATGTTTTTAAAGAGATAATAAAAAAAGCATTCTAAACTTGAATTTTTAACCTCTTATCAGCAGCAACAAGACTCAGGAGTTCATCAAAATCATCTGAGACAAGATTTTGAACACCCTGGGAATATAGGACAGTTTTTTTCAAATGCATGATGTTCGTCTCAGAAATGGATTCAATGAGATTTGAGCTCTTGACAATTGTGTTTGCTACTTCAAAGGCTAAGATCCCAAGTTCTTCCCCCTTGATTGCAACTCCAGAAGTAAATCCACCGCTGCTAAGATCCGTCATGCTACTCCCAAGAGTATCCAAAACATCTTTGGCTTTACCTAAACCCGCTTTGCCTAGAAGCACACTTGCCTCTGTAACCTACCACAAATATAGTCACTGACAGTTTAGGACTCACAAAAGACATTTGCATATACTAAGAGACAATCCTTTTTAACTAGTTCAAACTAACCTTTGAAACTGCGTGTTGAGTAGATGATCTTGTAGACCGAGGTTTCTGTGGTGGAGGTAACCTCGGAATCCCATCATATAAATGATCTTCTACTACTTCTTTTCCGCGGAAAGAGAATACATCTTTCAACTGGATTTGTTCATTAGCGTCTTTAACCATACACTGCCTCATACCAGGAGGAACAAACAAACTGACTTGACTAGGTGAACCATCATCAGCTACACTTGAACCTGAATACTCACTGCCAATATTGATTCCTAGGCTCTTGGAGCAAAAACTCCCCATAACTTTTTTCTTTTAAATCCTCCAAAAGACTTCAAGATAAAGTCTTCCAAAACATCATGCCACTGAGTTGAGAGTAGTCAAACATAAATTGTGAGAAAAAAAGTCAGATCAACTAAACTCAGACCATTGGGAAATGGTAAGTAAGACTCAGACCATTGGTTCGAAGACTAAAACACAACGAAGTTAAGCCTTTAGGTCAAAAACACTGTGCAAGCCTCTCTCTTTCTCTCTCTATAGACCTAAGCAGCAGGATAAGATTTTACTAGAGGAAAGATCAGAAGAAGGCTAACTTACCCAAGAAGACGAATAGAGCTTGAGATTCACGACAAAGAGAACAGTGAAAAGAAGAAAAGACAAAGCAAGTAGAAGGTACACGAGTATCAATGTTAAGAAAGTCAAGGAGAGTAGTATGAATGAAGGTAAGGAAATCTCAAGAGACAAAGGGATTCAACAACAAATCAAAAAGGGGATTGAACCACCACCATATTGGTATCTTCCAAAGCCAGAAAAGAAACAACAAGACCAAGAAAAGTCTTGAACTTTTTCTTTTAGTTTTTAAGGAAGAAAAAAAAACAGTCACGAGCTGTTATGGATTGGTCGGTCAAATATTCCAGTATTATTATTACAATGGACGACGCTGACTCAACTTTTTGCGTGTGTCTTTTTATTCTTTCAGTTCCGTGGAAGTAAAAGCCTGTTTCTCACTCCTTTCTTCCCAAGAAGAAACCAAAAATTGCGTAAAGGTTTGGACTTTTCAAAGGCTATGTAAAGATCTATCTAAGCAATGATTAAAACATTAATCAAATTACTCATCATTGAATATATTTGCTAGAAGGTTTGATCATTTGGTTCATAAACAATCTTGAATTAAAAGAATCATAAGTACACTTCCACACATCTCTAAGTGTAAAGTTTTGTGAACATGTTCGTATTTGCTTGAGCTCTTACTGTTGAGATTAGTGGCATCTCCCAGTATCTGACAATGCCTTTTGGAATATACAAACTGCGGAAGCTGTTTGGCATAAAACATCTACTGGTTACAGGTTTGTATAAGAACAAAAGTGATTGCTAGTGAAGCGCTCTCAGCAATCAGAAAGGATGTCTTGACCAAAACTCTTAAACCGCTTTAGCATAAGCTCTTCTTACCTCTTGTATAACCAGAAACTTCTCTTCACTCTTTCTGGTATTAACAGGATACAGAAAAAAAATGTGAAGTAGTTTCACTTAAATATGTTGTTCCCACAAAGTCATCTTGTGGTCTTCATATTGGATGTGTATACATGCGGCAGCTAAGAAGATAATGAAAGCCATATGATAACCAAAATGTCCGACAGGTCGAGACCCAACCCATTAATCCCATAGGAGCTATTAGGGCTGGGATTTCGAGTATTCGGATCGGTTCCAGGTAAGAACCGTTTGGTTCCGGGTAAATCGGTTATTTAGAAAACGTATCCAATAGGTACTTGATCAATTTACAGTTTGGATTCGGATCGGTGGGTCGGTTTCAGGTATACAAATATCAACCCGGAATTATATTTTTATTTATTAATTTAATTTAATTTTTTTTTTAAAGTTTGAATACAATATTTATAGTCTGCATATAATAAAAAAGAACTTGAAGTGGTCTAGTGGTGAGAATACAATACCTTTACCTTTTCAAATCTATGTTTTTTTAAGTTTAATTAGTTTAATCGGATACCCAATCAGTTCCGAGTAAAAACAGAAATCGAACTGATACCCACGGATATTCAAAATATACATCGGTTAAATATGCCCTATCCGAAACCGATCTGAACCGATCTATTTCGGGTCGGATTCAGTTCGGTTCAAAAGTCGCGAGCTATTTACCAGTGACAACCAAGTTACTCTACATAGGTGTTAGAGACCCATGTTACTTGACCATATGACAGCCTATTAATTTTTCACCGGACCAACGTGACAACTTTTCATATACTAGAAACCGAACACCGTTAATGAAAGCCATATGTTACAATTTAGTTTTGCAACAATTGAGTTTTACAACACTCAAGAAAAGTCCGTTACATTATACTCCCTCCGTTCCATAATAAAAAAATATTTTGGTTAAAGCATATAAGTTAAGAAATTTATTTTTATTGATGATACTATTATTAATAAAATATATCAACCCATTATAAGTGATGCAGTTTAATATTATTAGTTAATTAATCTTTAATAAAGTTAAAGTTGTCTTAAAAGTAAAAAAAAAATCTTATATTTTGGAATACTATTTTTTTTTCTGAAACATTATTGAACGGAGGGAGTATTTCATTAGATCCCTTTGTAATATTTTGCAAAACTAACCCGGATTCGATAGTTCAGTGGTACCTGTTCCTCAATTTTGGGAGGTCAGCTGTTCGATTCGCATGCGGGGAGGCGTGTCCAGGACCTTAACCGGTACAGACGCAGACTGGCGCCGTGTACTAGGTGGTGGGTTGGCCAAAGGCTGGTCAACACCTGATTAATCAAAAAAAATATATATATATTTTGCAAAACTATGCTCACCTAATGCATAACTATACTTCCACCCAACAAAAAAATTTCATTAAACCATCTCCAACAACAGATATGGTATTAGAGTTCTAAATCTATTTTTTTCTTTTTGATTTAATTTTGAACATATAATTAGATAGAACTATGAGATATAACCTCTTTAATATCCTATTGAAAATGATCTTAGTTGTTGATATCTATGGTTGGGAGAAAAAGCCTTTAAAGAAGGGATAGTGGTACAACAGTAACATCTCACCAGCTTTCTATATACTGTACATTATATGTGAAAACTATTAATTGTACCAACTCCCCGATTCCTAAAAATGGTCCTACATAACTGGCGAATGTATGGCAACACAACAAAGAACATGTCTTCATCAAACGTTAATGTAATAACTATATGTCTTTTTAGTCTTTATTTTCACCATAACTAATAGACACACAAAGATGAGACATATCGGAAACTTCTTATCGCAGGAACACAAACAACTCAATAACAACCACATCTTATTTCAAAAAACAAGAATATTTTAAATAAAATATAAAAATTCATCAACACTTTTCTTCATGGTTTAAATTTTTTTCTTCTCAGTCCAGAGGAAGCTTGTTGAGCTTGCGGTAACTGTAGTCCTTGAAAGCAAATGGCTTGTACTTCGGAGGATTATCATCGCTTATAAGCTCCGGTAATGGCCCGACTATCATTTCACGGTGAGGCTCCAAGAAAACCGGCCACGACATCCTCGTCCTGTCCTTATCCACCGTCGTCCTATGCAACACATTCTTATACCTCCCATTACTTAGTCTCTGCAAAATTCACAACATTCCATCAAAAAAAGATAGTAATGACAAAAAATTACCATTTCATTTTGCAAAAAAAAAAAAAATTACCATTTCATATCTTATTATTAAAAAATAAATTACAATAATCTTTTTTTTTGTAAATAAATTAACATAATCTAGCAAAACATAATCTCTAATAGTTATTAATTTAGGATGCTCTAACCTCATATTAACTATAGGAAAAACATAATCTCTAATAAATCCAAATCACCAAACACTGTTCCTAAAACCTACGTTTTTTTATATATAAAAAAAAAAATTTGTATATACAAACTAAACCCTTAAATTAACTATATACCTTATTTCTCTCTTATCTCTCCTCCTCTTCACTATTTTTTACTTTAAAATCATGGCATATTCTTAATATTTAGTTTCTTTTGGTATATTGAGCAAATTTGCTAAAAAAAAAAGAGAATTTCATTGTCCTAGTACCTAAAACCTACCTTAAGAAGCTAAACATAATATTTATTTTTTTCTGACTTCAAAAAATCCACCTTTAATTGTTTTATCTTTTATAAATATTTTTAAAATGTTTGTGTTTAAAAAAATTATAATAATTCAGACCAGAATCTGATCGCCGATGTGAACAATGACGGCGGAAGGGATATACTCGGCGTCAAACCAGTGATCGTCTTTGAAAACTTGAAGTCCAGGAACTTCGTTAGGTACAAGCAGAGTGACTCCACTGAGATCGGTATGCGCCGGTACTCCCAAAGCTAAATCCGGCCGTGGACACGGCGGATAATAGTTAATCTTCATCATATACTCCGCCAGATCTCCGCCGAGACCTTCTCTCAACGCGTCACGACGTAAGCCTAATCCTTCGGAGAGTATACCTAATAATGTCTCCGACAGTTTCTTCACATGCAAGGCATACTCTTCGTTCACCTCCCTAATACATATCCACAAAACATATTTGATTATAAATTTTTTTTGATGAAATATTAAAAAGTTAGATGTACAAAAAATAAAACAATTAGACCAACAATTAAAAAAGGACAAATCTCTCAAATAAACATTTTCAAGTTTATATCACAAACATAAACTTCAAAAACATCCAAATAGGGGTAATTCTCTAAAATAGCATTCTTTTAAGTTTTTATCTCAAAAATAAACTTCAAAAATTATAATGATCAAAATAACACTTTTTATTTTGAAAATTTTAAGTTTTATTAATTTTTTTAAATTCGAAACTCTATCCCTAAAACCCACTTTTCAACTCTAAACAAACAAAATTAGAATTAGTTAACCCAGTGATATAAATGTATATTTAATAAAACATTTAAGTGTTATTTTGATCATTTTAATTGAGATAAAAACTTTTTTAAATCTATTCTAATCATTTTCTCATTTTTTATTTAGAATTTTTTACAAAAATTTGAAAGCTTATCTCAATACTCCACATGTAGAAGTTTAAAATTAATTAACTCAAATAGTATAAGTCTTACTTATTTTTTATAAGACATTTAAGTCTATTTAAATCATTTTTATTTTTAAGCAGAAAAACTTTTTTAAATCGTAGAGAATTTCTCATTAAAAAGTACAAAAGAATATAAAAGGAATAAAAAAATCTATCACTTTTTTCTAAATGTTTGTGTTGCTCCAATTTAAAACATACATTTCTCATAATAAATTGTTTTTTTTTTAAAATTATTTCCGCAATTGTCGTTGTGTCTAAAACATTGTCTGAAACAATCACAACAACAAAATGTTTTTTCTCCGACAAGTACCTGTACTCAGGTGGATTCTTTGGCCAGAAACTGTAGTTAACGCACGACGGTGGCCAGATCCTATGGAAAAGATGATCAACCCATGCTTTCTTACCTTCTACTTCTTTCTGCAGCTTCGTCCCATACCCTTCGATATCCTTCGCATCAACAGGCTTCGCCACGGACTCTTTCTCCGACGACGGCAACTCGAAGAACGTTCTCCCCACTTCCTGCAACCGTTTTATCAGCTCCGTGGGAATCCCGTGGTTAACCACTTGGAAAATCCCCCATTCTTCACTCGCCTTCACCACCGCACGCGCCACGCTCTCTTGGTCGGGGTCGCTGAGATCGACGACGGGGATCGCCGGCACCGGGCCTCGGAAAGTGGTGATCGCCGGTTGTTCTTTTTCTGATCTGATGAACTCTAAAGGGATGGC